ATATAAATTAATGTAAATATCTAAATTTAACACTTACGTTGCACATTCTGGGCAGGGGAAACCATCATCAAGCTAATCTAGTATCTAAATTATATATAAACTATTTGAAATTTGGCTAACGATCTCTCTCACTTTCGCTCTGCCAGTAAAATGCATCGTATTACAAATATTTGGTAAGTCAACCAACCCATATACACCATACAAAGCAAATCCGAAATTAAAAACATCTGACAATCCCTATTAAATTATTCATTCGTTATTCTGTTGCTGAAGTAATTCTGTAATTTGATACTCAATTTGCCTTTTCTCCGCTGATGGGTTTCCAATCAGATATTCTATCGTATTCCCTGGTCTACTCTAGTTGTGTGGGTCGCGCCGATATGTCGGCAAAGGTCGACTTGTCGCTGTTGCTGTCGCTGTCCATCAATGTTGCTACTGACCTCCTGAACTGCTTTGGGCCAAAGGAAAAAAGGAAATCGGGCCTCTCTCTGGGCTGGAGTGGGCTGGACTTCAATTGCCTGTGATTTGAACTTTAAATTATTTGGTTTTGGTTTAGGTCTTTTCGAATTTTCCTTTTTAAGCGTTATTGCTCTGCGGAAAATCGTGCGAGTATTTTTCCTGACGTCGTTTGATTGAACTTTATTGGAGCATAAAAATGAAACCGAAATTGTTGTTGTTACGCTTAAGACCATGTCGAATGATGGCCCGGCTCAGATTGCAGGTGATGCGAAATGCATGAGAAATGTACGGGCGCTGGGCGTTGCGGGGGCGTGGCAGATGGCTTTTACATTCGCTTTTTTATGGCCATAAAAAAAAACGGAATTCGCATGCATATGAATATTCCTCTGCTTCTTCTTCTTCCATTTTTTGCGTTGTATTCTAATGGAGCTGAAGCTGTTTGTTGTTGTTGTGGTGCCGTTAGATGCATTGGGAATTTTATTGGTATTGTTGTTGTTGGTGTTGTTTCTGATGTTGGCACTGCTGTTGATGGATTAGCGAGCGTTAGCCAAACAGCTGTCGTTGTCCAGAGACACGTCGACTCCACTTTCCGCCTTCAATGCATCATGTGCTTGAAACTGACGACGAGGACAATGCTGACAGCGCTTCCATTCAGCTCCCAAAGGGCATTGGATTACATTTGTTTTTATTATTATATATGAGCTCATACTGTTATGCCATTAGGCCGCTCTCTCTCTCTCTCACTCTCCCCCTCTCTCTCATTCTCTGTTGACCAATTGGGAAATCATTTTCAATTACAGTTTCTAATTTACTAAAATAATATTCTTGTCTCTAAACTATGATTGCGATTGACAGGCTTTCAGAGGCAATTGGGAGAAAAAATGTAAATGGGAATATAGTTTTAGTTTAATTTTTCAGCCTGATGGCTGCTAGAATATAATATAGAATATAATAGAGGCCTTTTACTAGTGTAAACTTGTAAAGATTTTATCCATTTTCAATTTTTTAATATTTATTATAATATATTCCCTAATATTAGCCAAATTTGGTGTATATATTGTTATTTTTTTATATTTATTATATATAAATTTTCCTTTTCTATTTATTTTATTTAAAGACGCCTTTGTATGCTTTGTTCAATATTGTCACTCATTGATATTTTTTATCTAACTCTCGTATTATATTTCAAATTTGTATAGTCAAAGAGCATTTCCACTGAAAAGCCTCAGTGTTGGTCTCATATCTAGGTAAACTCAATCCAAATGACGTTTATACAAACCAATAAATAAACAACGGTCTCAAATTGATTTCCCAAGAAAAATTTGTGCTAAATTTCGCCAGAATTGACTTTTGAAATGTCCACAAAAAGATAGCAGACAGATGAAGGTCAAGTTTACGCAGAAAACATAATTAAAGCGTGTTTAATGCACAGCAAGCACATTCACTGAAATCCTTTTCAAGTTTATTAAGTGTGCACAGCAGGTTTTATCAGAGCAGACAGCAGGCGACGCAGAAATGCATAGACAGACGGACAGAAAGACTGAAGATAGGGAAGCTGAGCGGATATACAGATACAGATATAGATATAGATATAGATATAGATATAGATATAGATATA